ACCTGTCCGAATCCCTGTCCGGCTGTGAGTGTGGAGGATCACACAAACTCTGTCGGTCGGCAGACTCTCTCTCTCTCTCTCTCTCTGTTTTGAGCAGTCCTATCCCAACGCAGCATCGATTTTGCCTCCCAGGCCTGTCTGAAAGATCACCAGCTCACTCCGACAAAACGCCCCAACTTTCGGCCAACTCGCCGAGAGGCTGACCTGCTCTCTACCTCGTCTGCTCCACCCCTGCCTTCACATTCAACGCCCAACAACCAACAACCAATGCCCAACAACCAACAACCAACGCCCAACAACCAACAACCAATACCCAACAACCAACAACCAACAACCAATACCCAACAACCAACAACCAACAACCAACTCAAAGACCGACAAGCCGAACGAGCAGCCGTTCGGGCAAGTCTGTAGGTATGTATGCATGCGGGAGGATGGCACGAGGAGGATCGATCGAATGAAACAGCCCAACAACAGGAGCCAAGAGACAAGCCCCCAACAACCAGTCTCTTTGATCGGCTTCGTTCGAGGCGCTGCCGACAAGCTGGACAGATCTCAACTGTCCGACGTGGAATGATGACTGGTTGGTACGTCGGTGTCCGCAGATGTGATCTTCGACCCCGCGGCCGCTGGTCGAGTTGCCGGGGCGAATGGAAGAGTTGAGGGCTGGGACTGACGAGACTCGATTGGGTCGGCAGATCGGCTTCACGAAGCTGCGCCGCGAGCGTCCATTTGGAAGAAAAAGTTGCCCGCAAGCAACTCATGAATTGGGGCCATCCGAAGCGGAACGTACCACTCGTCAAAGCGACAAACCCAGTCAATCCCTTCATCCTCCCGCCCACCCGCAAGTGGTACAGACCGAGTAAGGGTGGGCAGCCAGTTGCCCATTAAAAAGTGGACATTTGAGAAAGTCTTGTTGCAACGACTGGCCAAGTTGGGGCGCCAATTCTGCGGTGCAAGAAGCCAGGCAGCGTGGATGAGGGCCATTCCAACTGACCTCCCAGCAACAATAACAACATCAACAACAACAACACACACACACACATATATATATATATATAGAGAGAGAGAGAGAGAGACAGACAGATAATACAGGACTCTGAAATTAAGCGTGGAAGTGGTCTACGCCTCGCAGACATGAAAAAAAGCCAAAGATTCGCGAGAAGCGAAGCTGGTCACTCTGGCCGAATAGACACACCGACAAGGTCTGGTTAGCAGATGTTGACCTAACCCGGTTCACAACAGAGCCGATATGGAGAGGGTGGTGTGACCGACCTTCATATCTGCCTAAAGAGTGTCTCGCTTCATGTGACTTGGGCGCCTACAACATTGAGCTACAGACGACGTCTTGAATAGGAAGTGTAAAGTGTGAAAAAGACATTTTTCGAAGCACACTCTATCCTTTATTAAATGGGCAAAAGTGAAAAAAAACACAAATCATTATTTACACAGGCTTAGCAAGTTTCGAAAAGATTATTTTTCACATATTATATTTTATTTTTTGTTTTTCTCTTTCCATTGCCTAATAGACGAGCTAATTTTTACGCAGGAAAAACCAACACTGAAGTGCATGTGTGCCGATGTGGTAGCAATAAATTGTAGCTCGCAAGGAGAATTCTTCCCGGCCCAAGTGTGTGCTTGGCTATTTATGCGCCTGTGTGTGCGCACAAAAGGGTCTCTTACCATGCATTCGCGTCGACTAAGTGTGTATATGTGTATTTATGTGATTTCTTTTAGCCCATGTGGAGCGTTGATGCACGGGTGCACATGTGTATCTTTGGGTTCAGCTATTTCTGCCGATAATGATGTGTGAATGCATGTCTGTCTATCAGCATTTGTCAATATGTCCATGCACATATTTTTGTCTGTGCTTCCAACTACGTGTGTGTGTGTGAGTGTGAATTTGAGGAAGCATTTCGTGAGTTTGCCCGGCCGAAATCTAATCAACTCGGCTGCCTCGAGTCGCAAGCAAGTGGGTCTCGTCTAATCAAACAGATTTTGTCGAACAAGACCGTGAAAATGGAGACTGTTGGTGCAACAGGGAAACATCAGCTTGTGCTCAGATACCGGGTCTTCGGCACTCACTTGTGCAAACATGCCGACCAACGTACACTGTGACCAATAGACTGTGATACACCAATGCGTTGTCAGGATGCACATGTCTTTGTTTAACCAAGACAAACAAGTAGCAGGCCAGATTGTTGATTTAACGACACGCATCGGCAGCAAGTTCACCCGCCGACCGAGTCGCCGGTCTGTCCGCTCGTGACTGGGCTCGGATTACACAACGCGGGACTCGAAGTTAAGTGCTCCCCGGACGCAGGTGGAGATGAGAGTCGGCGCAACTCGTCACCGATTGGGACAGTCAATCTCGACTGCCGTCGGTTGATGATGGCACATTCTTGTTGCTGTCTCCAAGCGCGGCTTAGTGACTAAATTGGATGTGAGGCTGAAAGTCTGGCTTCGACAGTGGGTTTCACGCGTTTTCACCACTTGCATGTGCTGCCAGGGCGACCACAAAGAAGGCACCCTGTCGGCCGTTCGACATCATCATGTCGACGATAATTTACAACATGAGACCCTCGACTTGGTACATTCCCAGACGTTGATGAAAACCGCCTGACCCGGCAACCAGCTACAACTTGTTGGGCTTACTTCCATTTCGAGTAAAAGTGTTTGGTGAAAAGATTCCAAGGTCGGTTCCACATGCACATGCACATACAAATACAGAGACAGACACACTCACGTGCATAGAAGTTGACCTATGACCTTAACTAACCAAATCACTTTATACTTGATCAAAGAGGCCAGATGTAGAGTGGATATACCACTTTTTAGGGATTTGCCGGTAAGTTGTCTTGA